TATGTCTAGAAATGGGAAAAAAAAAAAGAAATGGGCACCCTGCTTGTTCTTCCCGGCCACTGGTGGGAACAGCGGAATCAGTCACACCAGGAGTTGAGCTGAGACTGGGGCTTTTGTTAAGGCTACTTTCAGTGCACCATCACCTTCACGTTTCTCTAGGGTAATGTTGAGGAGCTGCATTCTGCAGCGTTCTCCTTTAATGTTCCTGCTCTACCCTCAACTTTATTTTATCATTATTAGTTTGGTCACACCACACCACATGTGAGATCTCAGTTCCCCGAACAGGGATTGAAGCTGCACCCCACCCCTCCCCCCGCATTGGGAGCACAGAGTCTTAAACTTTTGTTCTTTAAGGGACCAAGGCCCAGATGGGGCTTCATGCTTTTCTGGCAGTGGCAGCCCGGTCCCTCCTTTGAGCTCCCACCCCCAAAACAGGATTTCTCTACACTGTTCCCACAACAAGTCTTTGCCATAAGCACCCAAATGGAGGTCAACGGAAGCGTCAGCAAGTAGGTGCAAACTCTTCTTGGCATTTGTGGCCCCCAGGGTTCCTACTCTCTACCCAGCCTTTCACAATTCATTAAAATCTTAGCTGAATTCCTATCTGCTTGTACAGTGGCCCCATTTTCCTCCTGCGCTCTGCCATAAGTGAGCCAGTGCTGCTATCCTATCTGTGCTTGGAGGCACCTGTTTACCTTTCAGGCCGGTTAGCTGCCCTCTGATCTCATCTCTCTGATGGATTGAAGACAGTTATAGTATTTTAGACTACTCAACCTTTTCTCTCTGTTAGCATGGCTCCTTCCAGGCTTATTAAAATTCACTTTTAAAAAAACTGAGGTATAATTCATGTAACACAAAACTCACCATTTTAACCACTTAAAGTGTACAATTCAGTGGCACTTAATACATTCATAGTGACGTGTAACCACCACCACTATCTAGTTCCAGAATATTTACATTACCTGAAAAAGAAACCTCGTACTCATTAAACTCCCTTCCTAATCCTGACATCTGTCTAATCTACTTTCTGTCTCGATGAATTTGCCTATTCTTGACATTTTACAGAAAAGGATCTTTCCAATTTCTGCCCTTTTCTGTCTGGCATCTTTCACTTAACATTTTAAAGGTTCATTTATGTGGGAGCAACTATCAGTAATTCATTCCTCTTTGTGGCTGAGTAACATTCCATTATATGCATATATGCAGAAATTGTTTGTCCTTTCATCAGCTGATGGACATTTGGCTATTTCCACCTTTTAGCTATTGTGAATAATTCCACTATGAATATGTGTGTACAAGGATTTTTTTTTTGAACATTTGCTTTTAACTCTTTTGGGTATATACCTAGGAATGGAATTGCTAGGTCATATAAATTCTATGTTTAACTTTTTGAAGAGCCACCAAACTGTTTTCTACCATTTTATATCCCTACCAGCAATGTACAAAAGTTTCAACTTCTCTACATCCTCACCAACATTTTTACTTATTTTTTCAGAGTCAGCAGTAGGCGTGAAGTGGTATCTCACTGTGATTTCGGTTTGCATTTTCCTAGTAACTAACAACTTTAAGCATATTTGCATGTGCTTATTGGCCATTTGGGGCTTCCCCGGTGGCTCAGCAGTAAAGAATCTACCTGCAACGCAAGAGACACAGGAGACATAGGTTCGATCCCTGGGTTGGGAAGATCCCCTGGAGGAGAGCATGGCAACCCACTCCAGTATTCTTGCCTGGAGAATCCCACGGACAGAGGAGCCTGGCGGGCTACAGTCTATGGGGCCGCAAAGAGTCAGACACGACTGAAGAGACTGAGAACACACAGACACATTGGCCATTTATTTATCTTCTTTGGGGAAATGTCTATTCAAGTCCTTTGCCCATCTGTTATTAGTATCAGATTTTTTTTGTCTTCTATTCCTAAGTTACAAGCGTTCTTTATATAGTTTTTATCCTAGGCCCTTAATAGATACATGATTTTCAAATATTTTCTCTTACTCTGGTTGTCTTGTCACTTTCTTGATAATGTTCTTTGATCCACATAGTTTTTAATTTTGATGAGGTCCATTTTCCTATTTTTCCTTTTAGTGCTCATGCTTTTAATGCCTAAGAATTCAAGGTCATGAATATGTTCCCCTGTGTTTTCTTCTAAGAGTTTTAGTTTTAATGCTTACATTTAGGTCAATGATGCATTTTAAATTAATTTTGTACATAATGTGAAGTACAGGTCGAACTCTGTTCTTTTGCATATGGATATACAGTTGTCCCGACACCGTTTATTGGAGATACTATTTGCTTGTCAAATTATCATAGATGTGTGGGTTTTATCTGAAATCTCAATTTATTCCACTAATCTAATGTTCATGCCTGCTAAGTTGCTTCAGTCATGTCCCTATGAACTGTAACCCGCCAGGCTCCTCTGTCCATGGGTTTCTCCAGGCAAGAATACTGGAGTGGGTTGACATGCTCTCCTCCAGGGGATCTTCCCAACCCAGGGATTGAACACGGTCTCCTGCAGCTCCTGCACTGCGGGCGGATTCTTTACCACTGAGCCACGAGGGAAGCCCTCACTAATCTACTGTATTACTTTAAAAATAATTATTGTTGTTTTCCCTTAAGAGTACATCGCAAGACAGCAAGTAGGCTCAAAGAGATGACTCTTTCAGGAGATTTGGCTGTCATGAAAAGGAGAAAGAAAGGGCACAGCCTTGCATCTCTTATATGCCACACTACACCAGATTATCTGCATAGAATATTTCACTTAAGGCTCCCAATCCTTCAAGATTGTCTCCATTTCAAAAACATGAAAACTAAAATGCAAGGACGATCATTAACATTCTTGCCCACACTATACTCTGCTGAAAGCTACAACTGCATCCCAGATCTGTTTGATTCTAACTCTATATTTCCCCCCTCTATTGTTTTGTTCCCAGTTTTGGACATGAGTTTGAAGTGCCTTCTGACCTGCAGAGAAGATATCCAGCTGGCATTCAAAAATATAGCCCTGAAGCTCGGAAACACTTGGAGTTAGAGATGAAAATTTAAAAATAATTGGCATACCAGAGTGGTTGAAGCCATGGGAGCAGAAAGGATCACCGACAAAGAGTATCAGAAGGCCTAGGTCTAGACCTCCAGTGGAATCCCAGGGCACATTCAAGGGTTAGGCAGAGAAGGAGAAGAGAAGGAGGTTGTACCTAGTTCTTGAGACTAGTCTAGTGAGGCCAAGTACCAAGTCCATCTTGTTCATCTCTATATCTCTAGTGCCTAACAAGAAATCTACATAATGAATGCTCAGTAAATATTTGTTGAATGAATAACTTGTTGGTACTACAGTTAAAGGAGAGGAATGCTTCCAGAAGGAGACTATTCAAAGGTAGTAAATGCTTTTGAAAACTCAATGGAAGATAAGGTATGAAACATGACCACTTCGATTAGGCAACAAGACAGTCAACACGGACAGAAGAAAAACAGTAAGTGAAGAAACTGAGCAAAAGACCAATCAGTGGATTGGGAAGTGAATGGGAGGTGACGGTGAAGAAAGAGCACTCGTGGATTCCTTCAAGAAGTCAGATGTAGGGGAATAAGATAAATAACTCAGTAGCTAGAGGGTTATCAAATTGCACGAATGCTTGTATTTTTAGATGAGAGATATGTCAGCTTGTTTGTCAATATAGATATTGGATTAACACTCCATTTTATAAGAAACTGTGAATTTATTTTCAGTCTTTTAAATAAGTAATTCACATATAGAAAATAATTATTCCAGGGAGGGAAAATTCCAGGGATTAGACTTATGAAAAAGAATTTCTAAATATTTAGACCTATGTACATTGGCAGTTTAAACTAACCTAAAGAAAGTACTAAAGAGGACAAGGATAAAATAAAAAGCCTATCAAGAAAACAGAAATGACTGGTTCAAAACAATGCTAGAAAAAAAAACTGAAACTAATTTGGGTACTAATAGTCTATTTCAGTCTCAGTGTAAATATCTCATTCAAGAGGAAAAAATATCTGGAGGTTTGAGAACGCTATCTTATCTACTCTACAAAAAATATTTTACCTTTCATATTTGGGCAAATACTTTCTTTAAGTGTTTTACTTTAGACTTATTAATGTGGTTTTAAAAACTATCTTTAACATATAAAACTGGTTGTGGTCAGCCTTTTACTATTTGGTTTTTATAAATTATTACTTAGATACTTTTAGATCAGGCCTGGGTAAACTATAAAAGATAAGAAAACATGAATGCTATTAAACCAAAAGGTAAGATATGAAGTAAAATAGAAATTACCAGGAAGGGTAGATTTCCCAACAAGTTAGAATTAACAAGGAAAAAAATATAATAGAATAGGTTAAAACAAACTGAATGACCTATGCACTCAAAGTTTCAGAAATCACCAAAGAAATGAAACATTTTGCCTCTAAGAAGAGCTGGAAATTTTCTCTGCTATTTGAAACTTTCAAGTGATCTGTATATGTGTTTGTTGTTTTATATTTTTCTTTGTTTGGTGCAACTGTTTGGAGTTTGTTTGTTTCCAAAGATATTTTGCTTAAGATATTTTAGCCTCTCTGAATCAGCAGCATCCTGCATGTGGTTGAATGGTACTCGGCGTAATGGTGGTGGTGATAATGATGGTATGGTCTTCATAGTCCTAGAAGCAACTCGATTCTAATATTGCTGTAGAATAATGCATTATAAAGGTGAAGTACTGGGACTTGCCTGGTAGTGCAGTGGTTAAGAATCCACCCTGCAATGCAGGCGATGCAGGTTCAGTCCCTGGTTGGGGAACTAAGATCCCACATGCCTTGCCAAAACTAAGACACGATGCAGCCAAATAAATAGAAAAAATGAGTATGAAGAATGTGGTACTTCACTCTTTTTAGAAAAAAAAAAAGAGTAAAGTATCACAAGAAAAATTCTATCTCCAAAATATTAGTAGCATATAAATACTAAATTTCTGATCTAATATGCTAGGAGTCCTTACTGAGCAATACGGAGTACTTACTTGAATTAGGGGGCCAGGACTCCCGGTATTCACTACCTGCTTGAGTTCTGGGTGACTTGCCCCGAACCTGGGGAGTCACACAAAAATCACAAGAGTTATGATCAATGGGAGAATTTAACCAAGAAATTTAAATCATAAAAGTATACTTAAAATATATATTTTTCTACCACCTCTTTTTCCACAGAATATAAAACTGGATGTGTTTATCCTAGCAATAACAATGTACATGTATAAAAAGCATTCTAGTTTTCAGTGCTTTGTCTCGTGTATTTCCTCAACCGATGCCAAGCTCATTCGGGGGGACGAGGACGGACAATAAGCAGTAAAGGGAGACGTGTGGGTCAAGAACCACAATCCCTTAGACAGCTACCCAGCTGCTGAGAGTTATCTGTGAACTCCCTTCTTGACTGTCACACCAGGATGAACAGTCAGCTCCCCGAGAGGAAAACCAAAGAGAAAAGCAACTGTAACCTTCAGCAGAGCCTTCTATCTCAGCACTGCCTTCATCGACATTAAATTGACAAGGGCAAGCTTCTTCGGGGGATGAGAGAAACATCACAGAAAGAGGCTCACCCTTCTTTCTTGCTTCCTCTGGGTCTCCATGGCATGCAGGCGCTCCATGAGGCTGGCGATGCCCTGCTCCAAGCTGTCGATGGTGTGGTGCTGAGGGTCGTGGCCGCTGAAGCTGTTGCGCAGGCTGCGCAGGGCGTCTCGCACAAGCTGCAGGTCGCTGCTCTGTGGGCGGAACCGCGGGGCAGCGCCACCTTATTACCCACATCCCAACCGCGGGGCTTAAGAGGGTATGGGGGAGGGGTTTCCAACAGACCTCTATGTTTGCGGGAGGAGGTGGAAATCGTAGGAAAACTTTTTCCTCCACAGACACAAGCTCACTGATGGCTCACTAATTCTTAACTTGGGATAGTACGTGCCTCACGGCTTTACACACAGAACAGATGCAAGAATTGGGGGACAGGGATATAAAAGGCCGACTCTACTGGTGATGACTAGGGTACCCTTTTGGTTTTGGCTGGGAGTGGCAAGTCTGTACTCAAATCTTAAAGACATACCCCTCTGTGAACGACTGAAGCAGTTCCTTTTCCTGCCGCTGGAAGGAGAAAACCATTGCTTTGAGAGCTGTGATTGTTGCAGTTGGTCACCTAGAGCAGCAAGAAGAAATGATGCTTGTACGAGGGAAAATTCCAAAGCAATTCCTGTGTTATTTGTCTTCTTTACACTAATCACTTCCTGACATACTGCAAAGATTTTTTTCCCTTGAGTTCACTGCTGAATCTCTAATACCTGACACTGGGAAGGCACTGTTGAATGCAGAGTGAACAAAGTGAAAACCTCACTTTGGAGGCCCTAGCCAGCCTCTGCCTGGCCCCAGGAAGGCCTGAGAATGCTGCTCCAGCATCTCCTGCCTTTGCTTCAGTAATAAAAAGAAAGAAAGAACAGTGATTAAGACTTTTTGAGCCTAACTCTGTGCCAGGCGGATCTACCAGGACTGTGTTGTTGTTTAGATGGACTATCTTATGTATTCTTCATAATGGCAGAGAAGGTCACTGTTATTTCCATCTTCCAGATAAGCCTTATTTCTAAGGTTCAGAAGCTAAGCAACTTAAAGTCACACAGTGGAAAAGTGTGTAAAAAATGTTTTGTTTTGTTTTTTTTAAGTGGTAAAGCTGGGATTTGAAACCAGATTTTCTTATCCCAGAACCTGCACTTTTATCCTCCCCAGCAAACACAAACCAACTCGTGGTGATGGCTCAGCCCTGATTAATAACTGAATCTCCCTCTTTGCCCCTGTAAACGCGGGACAGAGACCCCGAGCGGCCGGCAGGTTACCTCATCGGCCTCTCTTTTCACACAGTGAGCCCAAAGGACATCTGTGTGTTCCAGCTCTCGCTCCACGTCCACCTGCAAAGTGCACACACTCAATCAGATGGGAATTTCTTCAGATCAGAGGGGCAGGAAAGTCAGTGGTGGAACATGGTCCCCACCTGCTGGTAACTGGCCTCAGACAGTTTCCGAAGTGCTTCTTCCAACTTGGCCTGGTTCTGCAGCAGGAGGCGATCTTTCTGCCCCAGCTCCTTCTGCAACAGAGACACACGTTTCAGACAAGTGGCAAAGCCAAGGACATCCAACAGTTCACCTTTTGTGATGCCATTTCCACCTGAGGAAAGCAGAGCCCCACACAGTCAAAGGCTTTAGCATGGTCAGTGAAGGCAGAAGTGTATGTTTTTCTGGAATTCTCTTGCTTTTTCTATGATCCAACAGACGCTGGCAATTTGACCTCTGAATCCTCTGCCTTTTCTAAACCTAGCTTGTACATCTAGAAGCTCTCGGTTCACGTACCACTGAAGCCTATCTTGAGGGATTGTGAGCATTAACTTGCTAGCATGAATGAACACAGTTGTACGGTAGTTCAAACATTCTTTGGCATTGCCCTTCTTTGGGACTGGATAAAGATAAAGGCTGGATGAACTGAAGCTTCCAGACTCCTAGCTCTGTGTTCCTTCTCCTAGCCATGCTATCGATCTTCAGGGTTAGTGAATCAAAGGAACTCAGAAAAGGAAATCCTTTTCCTTGCAGAAAGCAAGGAGGAGAACAGCATACTGAAGTGTTCTTTGAACAACAGCAACAACAGGCTGCTCACCAAAGCTCAGGTGGAAATGATTTTCAAACTGATACACATTCTTACTTTATATTCTCCCAAGAGCCGATTCCTCTCCTCCAGCTTCCTCTGCAGATCCACCTGCAAGAAGAATAAGAAAAAATTCAGTGGTGTGGAGGCATTATCTGCCAAACCAGCTAGGAAACCGGTAGGTAACTAGAGCTGATGTTGGCAGTTTACAGGATTCAGCAACAGAGAGGGCACGTCTATGGTAAAAACACACAGCCACTCTCCACATCTTCAGTGAGATAATCAGGCTGTAGAACCACAAGGCAGCCTCAGTGTCCTCAACGTTGCAGGGCTCAGGGCCAGTGTGTGGTACAGGCTTTCATCAGGAACGAGGAGGATTCCTCTAAAGTGGAACAGATCTAACAGGACTTCATACTATATCCTATTTTGAGCTCAACGGAGTCCGAGGTCACTCTTTCAACTCACGTTCTGGTTGTGCAGCTCATCTTTGTCCATATTTGCCCTCAGTAGTTCCTGTTTGAGCTGAAGGACAGACGCGTCCTGCTGAGTCAGCCTCTGCTGCAGGGCATCCTGGGGAGAAAGCACACTCACTACCTGGTCCCAGCTCATCCATCAGCCAGTTGTTACTAAACAGGAGACAAACACAGCACAGGGTCCTGCCACAAGGAGATGAGCAGGGATTTTTCCGTTCTCTTCCAGGACACTAGAATCTAAAGGAAAATCCTCTCCACTGTCCTACCAGACTGATGGAAACCCGATTTTTCCCTCTGTGCTTTACTTGCCCCTACTTTCCCCTGTGTTGCCAACAGCATGATGGCCTAGGGGGAGAACAAGCGGCCTCTGGGATCAGACAGACCTAGTCTCAAATCACCTGCCTACCACTTGCTTTCATGACAGTGCATGCGTGCTAAGTCGCTTCAGTCATGTTTAACTCTGTGATCCTATGGACTGTAGCTCTTCAGGCTCCTCTGTCAATGGCATTTTCCAGGCAAGACTACTGGAGTGGGTTGCCATGCCCCCCTTCAGGGGATCTTCCCGACCCAGGGATCGAACCCTCGTCTCTTATGTCTCCTGCACTGGGAGGAGGGTTCTTTACCACTAGCGCCATGACAATGATCTTGGACAATGCACTCTCCTTCCTCCCTCCTTGGCTTTCGTCTCTAAATCCTTGGCCTGTAAATACTCAGTCGAGATGAGCTCTTTTGTCCTAGAGAGCTGGGGCCTATCACTGCCTGACACCCTGTTCACAAAGGAGCCCTGGAATCACTCCCATCCTGCCTTCCAGAGCCCTGCCCCTGCCCAGCTTCCACTGCCTTCCACCACCTTGTCTGGACCAGAACTGGGATCCTATTTCCCCGCTCAGAAATGTTCTTAGACCGATGGTTCCTCCTCCCAGTGTCATAGGATCCTACTAGTTTTAGGATATCTTCCTCTTAGCTTGGATCATCTTGGTTCCCACCAGGCATAGGACAAGGTGGGTTGTACACACTTACTTAAAAGGATCGGCTATGACATAATCCTCCAACCATAGTGACTTCAAATGGAACTAATGGACTAGAGCTGCATCCTAGGAGATGTGCCCTGACTCTTCTATCTTTGCTGACTGCAAACAAACGGTGCAGGCTCTGGAGGATGTGGGAGTCCACTCTTAAATATGCTGTCTGCCACAACAGTACATGGCAAGGTGGCCTCAGATGCCCTTGGCACCCGTGATTCAGACGAATGTTTCCCCAAGTGTGCTTCATGGGATGTTAACAAGTGTTACATGAGAGAAAAAAGTGCTTCTGTGGTTAACAAGTCTAATCTTTTTTTAGGCCAACCTCTTTATGGCAGACCTTCTCTGGCCCTTTAATATGCTATTATTCACTGTGACTCTTCAAGCCTGCACGGCACTTCTCAAACTTATTTGAGCATGGAATGTGCTGTTTTTTGGTATCTCAGAGGGCTACCAAAGATGCTGATAGTTACACCCTAGTCTGGCTCATGAATGGGAGTGTAGGAAAGCAGCAGTTTAAGGGCATCCTTTTCTACTTCTGAGGTATTATTCATTTAGCACATCTACTCCTACTGGGGTGAAATAACATGTAAGCAAGATTATTAGCTAGATCACTGTTTGTATTAGCAAAAGACTAGACATAACCCAGCAGATTTATCAATAGGAACTGATTAAATGAATTACCATATATTTACATACTGGAATACTAAGATCTTTATGCACTGAAATACAATGATCTCCAAGATATCTTGTTAAGTGACAGCAGCGTGTCAAGCTGGGTTTATAGTATGCTATTTGGGGGGGGGGGGGCGGAAATTACATACATACATATTTGGGGATAAGTAGTAAGTTGCCTCCAGGAAAGAGAACTAGGTGACTGAGGGGGCAGGGCTGGAAGGACGACTTCTCAAGGATTATCCTTTTGTACTTTTTTAACTTCAAACCCTTCGAAGGTTATTAACTATTCAAACCTAAGTAAATTACAATTTTTAAGAGTACATTCTTCTTCAGAAATGAAGAAAACTGACAGATACTGAAACTGGAGAAAACCGTAGTAACTGATTGTTTTCACACATAGAAAAAAACCAAGGTGGCAGAGAGAAGTGCCAGCACCATGAGTCACAACCGCCAGAAGTACGACTCCGCAAAGCAGACGTGTGTCCCTCCACCTGTCTCACTTCCCATCCACAACGCCCTGTCTCTGCTGGGAGCACAGAGCCTGTGAAAGGGCCCACCGGCTGTACATAAGACAAGGCAATAGGATCCAGCTAGTACCCCAGTTCCCTCAGAATGCTTTACCTTGTAGAGAATTTACTTAAAGTGTAAAATATCTTTCTTTTTACCTTTATCCCCTGTAAGTTTCTGGCTTCTTGTTTATATTTCAGCAGCTCCTTCTGCAAACCAAATATAGTTAGATCAGATGGTAGCATCTGGGTTGCTTCAGAAGCATTACCTCATTCTATCAGTAAGAACACGAAACTCAGATAACCATTCCAAGGAAAATCAACTGAGGCCTCCACTGAAGCCTAAGGCAGGTCTGGTCCAGAAAAAAGTAAAAGCTGACCCATAGAAACAAATAGGACCCATCTCATTCTCCCCTGTGGCACCCATGCTCAGCTGCCCAGTTGCCCAGTTTCAACTGTCCATAATCTTTCTGAACCAGAAAGAAGATAGCATACATTCCCATAGGTTCATCATTCCTATATTTAGCAATCCTCACCAACAGGGAAACTTAATCATCAATCATAATAATCTAAATCCCTCTCCCTAAAATACATGATATCTCAATATACCTACCCCCAATCTCATGAAGTAATTATCTCACTTTTAATGTCCAGAAAGGGTTACAGCATTTCTGTTCTCCAAGAGGGTATTGTTCTTTATGGACCAAACAAAAACACATTTGGCCCAATAATAAAATACTTGGTTAACCGTCCCTTACAACAGATTAAATATATGTACACGACTGTCACTAGGACAAAGATTTTAGGAGAGGAACACCCACCACTCAGACTCTACTCTCTCTTCTCCTACTGCAATCTCTTCAAGAGTTTGGAATTAACATATCTAAAATGGGGATTCTCCACCAGGACTCCACACATGGGCTCCAAAGTTAGACCACTCAAAACTCAGGTCAGTGAGTGCTCTCATGCAAATTGCTGGGGAGAGGGTTAATGGCTTTAGTTATATACTTATGGCTTCAAAAGAGCTAAGATCCACTGATCTAAAAAAATTCTGGAAAGTATTCATTAATTTAAAAGACCATAATGAACTGCTGTTAACAATACTGTACTGTATATTGGAAAACTGTAAGACAGTAGATCTTAAAAGTTTCCTTTATAAGAAAAAATGTGTAAATATGTTAACTAAGCTTGCTGTGATTATTTCACGATACATACACATATTGAATCAACATGGTGTACACTCTGAAACTAATTATGTTATGTCAATTATTTTAAAAATGATTATATTGATAGTAGATCCATTATTTATTTTAATTTAAAGATAAATATGAAACATTTCAAACATATAGAAAGGTATAAGTAATAATGACATAGATACCTATTATTCCCACTGAGATTAAAAAGGTGTTACTCTTTTACCGTATTTATGACATATCTGTCTCTTTCAGTTAAAGACATAATACAGATAGAGCTAAAGTATGGAGTCTGCATCTCTCCCTTCTCCCCATTACTATACTAAAGTTGGTGTGTAATATTCCCATAATTTTTTAAAAGGGTAAAATGTGCATTTCCTGACATACCTTTAGGTCTTGATTCTCCTCTATACTCTGATCCAGACGACTTTGGATTATAATCTGAATATAAGGCAAAAAGAGATGGCTATATATCTATGCTGTAAAATTCAGAGGTCATTCATCAACAGATATTTACTGAGTAGCTACCAGATGCTAGCCAGGATAGAGCAGCTACAAAGAACTGCCTTCCAGTGGATGCATATGCCCTGGGAGGGGTGGGGGGCAGTGCGAGTAGCCGACTACAGATAAAATTTAGGATGAGTTTGTGTGTGTTGTGTGCAGAAGGTTTGGGAAAGGGAAAGAGAAATGATAAGAGATGAAGTTCAAGAGGAAAATGGAGCAGGATCATGAAGGCCAGCAAGGATAATGGAGGAAATGATGAAAAAGTTTTAGGCAAAGATTTGACAGAACAAAGTTTGCTTTGACGTTAAGTTGCTCTTGCTGTTTTAGGGAAAATGAACTAGAGGACAGGAGAGGAATCGGGAAAACCAGCTGGAGGCCACCAGAATGCTGGATGAAGGCCTGAATTAAGGCAGTACCTGTGAAAGTGGAAAAAAGCTGGATGAAGATATTTTAAAAGTATACTGATAAAACTTAGTGACTAAACACTGGAGTTGGTTGTCATTTCCTTCTCCAGGGGATCTTTCCAACCCAGGGATCGAATCCGTGTCTCCTGCATTGACAGGAGGATTCTTTCCTACTGCACCATCTGGGAAGCCCTTCAAGTATGGGTGTCAGATTTGTTTTGGGTATTTGGGTACATGGATAGTGATAAGATACAGAAACTTAATGGACAAATAGTTTTGAGGGTGGGGAAAGAAGGGAGAGAAAGATGTTGAATTTAGGACTCATTGAAATTGAGATGCTTATGGGACATATAATAGAGATAACAGGCAGGAGCATGTTGCTTTTACAAATGTAGAACTCCATGGAGAGAACTAAGCTAGAAATAAATGTTTGAGAGGCAACATATGAGACAGGTGGGGAGTGAATGAAGCCATGGCAGCAGGTATTGCCCAGGTGAATGGACAAGACAGAAGAGAGCCCAGAGGAGAACCCTGAGGAGCAGCAACACTTAAGGTGTAGTTGTTTGAGTCATAAGTTGTGCCCAACTCATCTGCAACCCCATGGACTGTAGCCCGCCAAGGTCCTCCATCCATGGGACTTCCCAGGCAAGAGTACTCGAGTGGGGAGCCATCTCCTTCTCCAGGGGAATCTTCCCAACCAAGGGTTGATTCTGTGTCTCCTGCTTGGGCAGATTACCGCTGAGCCACCGGGGAAGCCCAAACCTTTAAGGGACAGGGAGAAAGAGAGAAGCTTCAAAGGGGATGTGAACTAAAAATGCCGCCTGCCGTTCATTAAAGAAAGGCAGCTGCCCAGGCAGTGAGCCTTGAGGGGACTCGGGGTGGAAACAAAGAATACTGGCATCTAGCAGGCAACTGCTGCAACAGAAGGGCACTCAGGGTGAGAAAGCACGGGATATGAGCTGCACATCAGAGGATCGACTTCAGGGAGCCCTGACTCTTGCATCTTCCCCTACCATGAAAAGCACTAAATTCCTTGAGATGGTTGGTTTTCCTTTATTAAAAGTAATTTCTGAAGTTCTGACTACCTGGTTTTGATGCAAAAACTCCTATAATGTCCTGGCTTCCCCCATTCCTCTTCAAAACAGTCTCTCAGAATTATCTGAGATGCTGTTTCCCAGGCTTAAGTCCTCAGTTTTGTTTACCAAATAAAACATCACCTTCAACCTTTAGATTGTGCTTTTTTTTTTTTTTTTCAGTCAACAGGGACCTGAATGTAAACTCCACGAGGAGAGGGTCTGAGGCTTCATCTGTCATTCCCGTGTCTCCAGTTCTTTGAAACCGTGTCGCACATGGTCAGCATGCAATAAATATTTGTGGAAGAAAGGAAAAACAGTCGAAAACATATGAGGAAAACCAGCAGAGCTAAAGTCAGGGAAGGGAGCGTTTTATGAGGGCACAGATGAGTGTCCAATGCTAAAAATAAGTCAGATACACAAGCCAGATTATTCCATGTCCAGTCACAAAAGAGGAGCTCACCAACTGTTCCTCGGGATTGACTCCTGGTTCACAGAGGGCCAAGGGCCTCTCCTGTTCATCTTCAGGTAAGGATCCATTGAGCAGTAAGGCCTAGGCAACCACAAAGGCAGAAAGAAATTTAACTCCTATCCAATGACAGAGTCTAGAGCTGAGCGGAGTAAGCTTGTCCCAAAATGAAACCACAACTGGGCTTCCTCTGGAAATCTGCCTGATAACTGTGGATCTTTAAATACTGCCAATTGCTCATCACAGATCTCTCTGGATTGCCTTGTGTCTGGCCCATGCTCAACGCCTCTTTCATCTCTCTGGACGTACCTGAATCCTCTGCTCCAAGGCTCCTTGGCCCCAGAAAAAAATTCTAAAAATAAACTTAATTTTAAGAAGTGACATTTTTGAACCAGAGCTGGCTGTTCAAATTGAATTTTACCAGCTGGAAAGTGAACTAAATGCAGTGCAGAATTATCCTGGCTTAGAAAAGTTTATTATAAGGAATTATTTGGAATACATTTATATATGTATGTACATATGTATGTATGTATATATGTATGCATTGGGTGCATTCAACCACTTTCAGGATGTTAGTTCCCCAAACAAGGGTCGAACCCAAGTCCACAGCAGTCAAAGTGCTGAGTCTTAACCACTGGACTGCCAGAGATGTGGGTGTATTTCATTCACTTAGCAATTCTGTATTTTTGCTCCCTAAGGCAACCTGAATAGAACAAGAAGGAAAACATATTTGCAGAGAGGTTTCCTTATACATTTCAAGTCCTCACACTAGGCTTTGTTTTTATTAGAATATGGTGGTGGTGGGGGGCAGATTTATTCTGAGGCTAAGGAAGCTCAAACCTCAGGGTCCCCCCCAGGTCTGCTTCTCCCAGGGTTCTGTATCTAACATTGTAGTCATAATCTGTAATCTTATTCTTAAAGAAGGCCCCCCAAGTGGTACACTTTAGAACCCAGAAAACTTGGATCTACCCCTGCAGGTAGGTATTAGGAGACCTATGGGCTCAGTGAAAGATTTAAAAATCTATAGCCATTTTATATACAACTTTTTTCTCAATCCAGTCCAAAGAGAAGAGATACAGAGATTCTTATTTCAGTAAATGTAACATAAATTGCATCACAAATGTTGGTATATAAAAACATTTTAAAATCCAGACACTATCAAGTCTACCAAGTACTAATTAATAAAACAAGTTTAGCCAGTCTAATGGATTTGATTCTCCCATGGAGTGGTGAGAAGAGGTGTAGACAATGTAAGCAAGAGCAGGGAGCTGGGGAGAGTGATGCTGCAGAAGTCCTGACTCTAAGGGCAAAGTGTTCACAGGCTCTAATGAGGTACACTAACAAGTCAGAAATCCCGGACCTGGCTCAGCATGCGACGGGTTCATCACTGAAAGAGTTAAGGAGCCCAGTGGATGCTGTGAGCCCCATTGTATTCTGTAATGGGACTGAATGCTCATTGTGATCATGAGGCTGTGAATTAAAACTCCTCTGTTTGTGGGGAATATTAGGATGCTGACTTACTGCCTGTTGATTCTCTTCTTTTCTCTGTCTAATCTGCCATGGGATTTCTCCCAGACTGAAAAATGCAAACCAAACGGAAAACCAAACTGATGGATATCTATGTTCATACAATGAAATGATCCTGAGAAAAACCTGGTTGAATGTAATCCCAAAATTCCTCATGCTTTAATCCTTCCTATTAAAAGCAAACACACATACACAAATCCATTGCATTAATTAAACCATTCCTTACTGGCCTGACAGAGAAGAGAACTAAAAGGCAGACATTTAAAAATACAGAGCAAATGGGAAGAGCGCAACAACTCTCCCTGGGAATGTCTGGGCAGTAAACATTCCTCCAACGCCTCTCTGGGCTCCTGGGGCAGACAGTGTGTAAACTGTTTCACCACTGCACCAATCCCCCGTTTTCTTTAGGACCCCTTTGTGTCCCCACCCTGTTGCTGGCCGGTTGGGAGCACGCCCTCCACCGCCTGCCGCCTGCCAGAGCCACTCACATAATGCGGGCTTTGTTTATGTGTCCATAAATATTTGACAATTCAGAAGCAGTGCAGTTCCCAGCACAAACAGAAAGGAATATTCCTGGGCAATTTCAGGGTCACCAGAACACTATAAGGGCTCCCCCAAACAGGGCCAGACACACAAAGGTGGAGGACTAAGGGGTCATTCAGGCTACGAATTAAGTCAAGTGGGTCAGTCGGCCTCTGGGGGAGGCTTGCTGGCACAGAAGGTGCAGGAAAAACTGAAGGGCTCAATTGCTCTTCTACCTGATCACCGTGCCTTAGCATCCACTTACGAATTCACCAAGGGTGAGCTAAATCCCTTAGCTAGACTCAGGTGGAGACCTGTGACATTACTGGCACTTACAGCCCTCCTGATGGTGAATTCCTCGGATAAAATCCTGACTCTTCACAAGACCATTCTTTGGGGGAAGCTGCCATTGCAGGTCTGTGGCTGCAAATAGGGGAGAAACCCACCCACAAAGCAGAGAGCCAGGGTGGAGGCTTGGTAGGGGAGGGTGGATACGGCTCCCGGGCCTGCAGAACTCCTAACAGCTGTGCCGTCAACAAGCGTCCAGGAGGCCCATTTAGGCATACTCACATGTAAGGGATTTCACGGCTCTTCGTGTTCTACCCCCTGCATCTAAACTCAGCTCTGACCTCACAGAAAACCGAGTCACTTTATTTTCAACTGATTCTACTGAGTTAAAAATAATAAACAATTGGTGTGGGAGTTCCCTGGCAGTCCGGGGGTTAAGTGATCCAGGTTCAATCCCTGGTCTGGAAACTAAGATCCCACAAGCCTCACGCACATGGTCAAGAACAAATCAAAACAAAGCAAAAACAACTGGTGCACCAAACACAGACGTCGAGGGAAAGAGCTACCTGTAATCCTGATATCATTTTCTTGGCTTCCTCCATTTCTTTTTCCAAATGTTCTTGTTGTTCCAACAGCTGCTCTTCCCATGAAGTCTCCAGGTAGGTCCGGGGACTGTCTGGTCTCCAGTCCCGGGGTAATGGAGAGTCTGTCTCCTCTACGAGACAGGAGGAGGGAGTACAGCTCATGGTGAAGAAAACTGAGTTCGGGAGCAAGCCCTCACCGTCCCCGGCGTTCACAGGGCTAGGTCACCTGCCTTCCGCACCTGCCCTCACTGCGCGGGCTGGACTGTCCACCAGGTGGGGGTGTGAGACAGGAGGAACTGGCCACTGGCTCCACTAATCCCAGGCTCCCGGTGAGCAAAGCTGAACTTGGTTGAGGAGGTCCACCCTCTTCAGAACCTTAAGGATTCCCTCCCGGGGAGCCCTGGTGGGCGGCAGGTTTTGCTCTTTACTCTAGAACTGGCACTCCCAGGCTCGGCCCCTCAAGCGACAAAGAGGGGAGCTGTCAGATACAATGAAAAGGAGCTTCAGAGGGGAGACCTCAACTCAAACTCCTTTGACCATTTTGGGAGGATGGAACCCCTTTCACATATAACATTGTGTGAGTCACAAAAACAGGAAACAGACCGGTAAAAGCAAACTCTGTACAGATTGTTTCACCTCCCTCTCTCCGGTTTTAGTTCCCTGTCTTTACAGTCTCTTTTTCTGATTTCATTGGTCTCTGATTTCATTGGTAAGAACGAATATTATAATAAGCCTAAGCCTGGGTTGTTGTCTGATTTCATGCGGCAACCTGTGTGCGGGACCCATGGTGCCCGGCCCAGAGCAAGCATGCCGTAAAGACCTCCCTCTCCCTCCCCAGGGTCCCTGGAGTTTCTGACTCAGTAACAAAACTAACTTTCTGGATACTGATACCAGGGCTAGATGGGGTGTGAAATAAGGAAGAATTTAATTCCAGTTTTCCTTCAGAGGACTTCGGTTTCATTCTCTCTCTTACAGGCAAATAAAACTCCTAAGTCACGCACTTTGCTTCTTCCTTGCTTTCCTCTGTGTTTATCTAAGAAAAAGGAGACTGAGACAGAGGAAGGAGAAGTCTAAACAATGTAGCCCTTACATAAAACATGATGCAGACCTGCTCTCTGCTGTATATTCTCACAGACACCTCCGTTCCATATATTCCTGGCCCCAATTTAAGTTAGAGAAGTACTGAAATTACTTGCATAACACAGAAATGATAAAAACTTTTTACTTGAGCAGACTTCTGACAGTTCCAAAGTCATCTAATTTCACTGGTGGTCAGCTGTCTACACTGCTGCAGGACATTGGACAGTTTGGACAGCAGAAGTGACAATCTGTGAAAGGATATGACATTCACTGGCTCCAAAGCATTAGAGCTCTCTAGTATGGACCCTGCATGCACAGACTATGCGTGGAGAAGGCTAGGGAGCTGACCGTAACAGTCAGTACCCCCAAACTCTTCATGCTGAGGGCTGTTCCTTTAGCCACCCCAGGCAGGCCGAGAATATAGTACCTGTTCTGTTCTCTACTCCTTCGGAGGGAATAATCACGAAATCCGCCTTCTCCTCAGACTGGGTTATGACGGATTCGCTCTTTGCACTGTGAATAGGACTGGGGGAAGTCAGGCTGTGACCGAAGGAAAAAGAAGAGAAACAATTATTGTGAACAGTTGTTTAGAAGCCAACTTTCCTAATTTATTCCAGAGATGGGTTCTTATTCATCTAACTCCTACTGCCTAAACACGGTGCCTGGCCCACAGTAAGAAGAAATACTTGTTGAATGAATGATGAACTTGTTAAATGAATGAAATGAATACTGAATGACCCATCCCCGGAAGCTTCCACAACGAAGTTGCCTTTAAGCATAATTCACTAAGAGATTTATCAAACTGATGGACAATGTAGCATTTTAAAGAACTCCACTTTTGTTTGGCTTGGCTTTTTGTTTTTATCTTTCACTTAACACCACCACCACCTCCTCCATCATGATCCCTGGGCCCAAGTTCAGAGACTGATGGACTATGCATTTTAGTAGCTTTGGGAGCTGGAAGGAAACTATATTTCTAATACATTGATCTATCTATCACAGACATGTGCAATACCAGCAGAGTAATCATGGCAGATCGGCTCTGGGCTGCTCCCAAAAGCAGGGACAAGGTGGAGGGTGCCTCAAAGGGGAAAAACCGCTGGAGTATGGACAGTGCCAGGCCGAGCAAAGGGCAGTGACGTATCAACAACGCCAGGATGTGATACAGAAAAGGGTGTACTATCTCTTTTTTTTTTTTTGCCATGCCCTCCTCCATCCCCCTGACCCAGGGATTGAATCCCCAGTAGGGAAGCCCTATTGAGGTATGTTGTTACTGCTGCTAAGTCACGTCAGTCGCGTCCGACTCTGTGCGACCCCATAGACGTCAGCCCACCAGGCTCCTTTGTCCCTGGGACGAAGGCAGGAACACTGGAGTGGGTTGCCATTTCCTTCTCCAATGCATGAAAGTGAAAAGTGAAAGTGAAGTCGCTCAGTCATGTCCAACTCCTCGCGACCCCATGGACTGTAGCCCACCAAGCTCCTCCATTCATGGGAGTTCCCAGGCCAGAGTACTGGAGTGGGCTGCCATTGCCTTCTCCACAGAAAAGGGTGTAATATCTCAAAAGGGGACAAGACTTGCTAGGGGACAATAAAGGTTTACTTGATTTACTGCCAAGAGTTATTCATATCTCTGCCACACTATTTTCAAATTGTCAGAGGGCTTCCCTGGTGGTCTAGTGGTTGGGAGTCCACCTGCCAACGCACGGGACAAGGGTTCGATCCCCGTTTGCGGAAGATTCCACATGCCCTGGAGCAATGACGCCTGTGTGCCACAACTACTGAGCCTGTCCTCTAGATCCCAGGAGCCGCAACTGCCGAGTCCATGTGCTGCAACTACTGAAGCCCGAGCACCCTAGAGACAGTGCTCCGCAACAAGAGAAGCCACAACAATGAGAAACCCAAGCACCGCAGCTAAAGAGGAGCTCCCACCCGCCGCAACCAGAGAAAGCCCGAGCAGCAGCGCAGACCCGGCACGGCAAAGCAACAAATAAATAAATCTTTAAAAAACTGTCATCAGAAATCTTGCAACAATTCTTAAATTCTAGTATAACTACTAGCCTTGGAAGGAACGGTTTGCATTCGGGAGGAAGCAGAATTTTAAATCTCCAGAAGCAAATCTACAGGATACGATGGGAATGTGAGGCGGACACTGCCATCTGAAGAGCCCTCTTTCTTTGCACCCACCTTGAGAACATCAGCACCAAAACAATCTCAGGGGCTGTGGGGTCTGCAGGCCCAGCCCCCTCTCAGGAATTCTTTCCAAATCCATCACCCAGACAACAGTGAAAGTGTCTTGGATTCACTGACCCACTTAATGTGCCCCTGAAGTCTCCCAGGCTAATCCTCACAGCCATGATCAGGAGTTAACATTTCATCTTCCTAGAAACCATGAAAAACAAGAGCCAAGCACAGTGGAGGCAGCCAGCAATTTCAAAAAGCTCTGAAGCAGCCTGAGGACTAGTGTCTCAACCTCCTCAGTGTCCCAGGTTTTGGGCTTTGGTGGGAATGACCTCAACCAGTAATACACTCTCATCCTTATCAGAACCATAGGGAAAAAAAGTTGTCTTTTGCTCTTGCAAATTAAAAAAAGTGTCACTTAACGATATCTGTAAATGTACAACCCAAACAGGCAGACAGGTGGAGAAAGGCAAGAAGTGCTGTTTAGAAAAGGAGACTGCTCCAGGGAACTCTCTTATCCATCTCTCACCATGTAGGCTATCTGACTTCTAGGCCAACATGAATTAGCTGCTGGGAAAGCACCAGTCTAGGGGTACCATTCACAAGAAGAATAGATTTATACTATTCAGGCCTCAGCTTTCACGTTCTTATAGAAATGGGGATCCGAGTGCAGAAAGAGGCCTGCACCCCAGCTACTCCTCTTTGAGAAATGGTAAGACCACACTTTCCCAGCTGACAAGGTGCTGTGGCTGACAGGTGCTCCTTCCTGCATCTAGCTGGACCACAGTGGATATGTGTGAGACGAAGGGGGTGGGGGTGGGAGGAGTGGTGTGAACCTAGGATGCAGGAAAACTGCTTTCCTGAGAGCAGAGACGCATGCTCAGCTAGATCAGCTCAGCGGCTCCCTCCTAAATGAGCCATCTCCCATATAAGGGCAGAAGGAGGCGGATGTCTGCATACCCAGCCCCACTGGGGGAGTGGCAGAGCGGCCAAAGAAAACAACATTTCTCTTTCTTGAATCGGGGCTGCCAGTATGGGAGCCACAGAGACATAAAACCCTGAAACTAAACGGCCGAGTCTAAAAGATAAAAGAAATCTGAGGAAGAAAAATCCTGAGGCACATGTCAGAGCATGCTGCCTTCCCCAAGGAAGACCCTCATGCAGGAGGATGGTACACAAATGTATTTTAATGCTAATTAATTACAGGGCTCGGGATCTCCCTGATGAGCTTAAAAAACTGTTTTATAAACAAGTAACCCCCCACTTGCCATTATAATCCTGTCAAGACAGGGAACAACTGGTTACAAATCAGGTCTGACTGATACATTCCTAATTTCCACAGGTCTAACATCTCTCCAATCTTAACTTATCAGACAAGCAGTTTCCCAGAAAAGATATCTCCAATTAAAAGTCCAATCAATTTTTTAAATCAGTACCAGGCAATAAGAGTTCTATTCCGTCCTGAAGTGCCGGCTTCAGCAGAGACCAGACGGGGGGGGTCAAAAGCCACTCCTCCCATGCCGCTTGCAGCTTCTTAAATAAACCCAGTGTATTTTACAGTGCTCATCTCAGGCCCGCAAGCAGGCTGTTCTCCCCAGTATAGCGCCCCCACCGAACCCCCGTCTGTCTCTGGCCAACAGCATCCTCCAGTCCTGGCCCTGCTCCCACCCAAGCCCCCCCCACCCCCCACCCCACACCTCCAAAGCCGAAGTGGCTTCAGCTCACCATTTGACCTGCGTCCCGCCCATGGTCCCCCTCGTGGCTCCGGCTTCAGCAAGTCGGCTTCCCTGGGTGAAGCGGGAGGCTGAGAGTCACAGCGCTCCCCGATTCGGGCATGTCTCCCCGCGCTGGGGGCCCCCGAAGAACGACTCCCCCGGGCAGGCCAACTACGAGAGCCGCTCGCCCCGGTCCCGGCAGAGAGCTGGGAGGGCAGAGAGGCAGGCGTCTCGGCCCCAGGCACGGCGATGCTCGGGGCTCCGGGGCGCGCCGTCCCGGCAGCTCAGACACTGCAGCGGCCCGGCCTCGGCGGAAACCGCCTCCCCTCGCAGGCTGCCGGCCCCCGGCAGCCGCATCCGTGGTCCCCGCGGCCGCGCGGCTCCGGGCGTGTCCCCGGGCGCAGGCATCTCAACCCATCTCCGCGCCCCGGGAGAAAAGCCCGGCCCGTGGCTCCGGCCGAGCGGTCGAGTGCCGGGGCGGGCGGCGATCCCCGCTCCGCGCCGCCTCCCGGTCCCGCCCTCCCGCGCCCTCCTCCCCCCGCTATCCGAGCTGTCACACGCGGCCGGGTAGCGCCGGGCTCCGTCCGAAGCGGGCGGGCGCTCCGCGGGCCGGCCGAGCCCCCGGGGCAGAACCGGGCGGGGCTTCGGGGCCCGGAGGCAGCCCCGGGCGAGGCGGCGGAGGCGCCGCGGGGTCGGCAGAACCCCGGGAGGGCTGTGTGGTCCCCTCGTTCGGAGGAGCCCGGGACTAGCGGCCGTGCCTTCTGTCCTCTGACCCCTGCCTTCCCGGACACCAAGGTCGGGGTGGGTCTAACTCAGCTCCTCGCGGGAGGGGGTTCCCCCGGAAACCCGCTGAACGCTGGTCTCCACCGCCCCCCACCTTCCCCTCGGGCGTTTCATATGTTCTTTTTTTCCCCCAACTAACGAGCCTTTTGCTTGGATCCTGAGAGGCTGGCCCGAGGTCTACGGGTCTGAGAAGCAACAGGCGGGCAGTCGGGCAGGGCTTTGCCAGGATGTCTGTCAAGGAGCAGGGGGAGGGGACCAGACGTAAGGGGCTATCTTCTGAATCACTGTTCTTTCCCGAGTCACATCTCGGGGGTCTCCTGGCCTTCACGGATCACTGAGACATGAGGTGGGCTTCCCCCTGAGTGCAGACTGCGGGGAGGAGCAGGGCAGAATGTCCCGGAGCCTTCTGGGGGCCAAGTGAGCATCCCAAAGAGGTGAGTGAGAGGGTGGCCGAGAAGAAAACGACCGAGTCAGGAAGAAGAGAAAGAGGAAAGCCAACCAACAGTTCTCTGAACGCTCTCCTAGAAAACGGTCACTGCCAGCCACTGCAGCCCGATTTCCAGCAGCCCCGAATTCACACTGTCTGGTACCCTGCCCACAGTCTTGAGTTCTGCCAGACAGGAAGGAAGCAGGTGCTTTCAGGAAAAAAAAATCCAGACTTTTTTTTTTTCTCTCTCTGGCAAGCGCTATCAGTCACAGGAAAGTAAAAGGCCTGTAGCCATGCAGGAAGCAATAGATCTCATTGTACAACAGAATATCTTTTGATTCTGTACCAAGTGATAGTTCAAGCAGAAGCAAGGAAAAACTGGTTTAGATTCTCAATAAAAGCACATCTACTGCTTAATGGACACAAGGTTCCATTCTGGCATGATGCAAATCTCTCTGAACTGGCTAGGGGTGATGGTTGCACAATATTAGTGAAGGTGCTACATACCACTGAATCATACACTTTAAAATGATTAATGGTTAATTTAATGTGTGAATTTTAAAAATAAAAAATCTATTAAATGTGAAAATTAAAAATCAAGCAAGGTTACCGGTATATTAAGATGACAGATGTATATTTAATTTCCAAGCAAATTAGAAAATGGCCCATCAAATTAAGGTGGAATTTTATGAAAAAAAGAAATAGGAGGAAGAAAACAAAGACACAGAAAATACATACATGTCAGACAAAGAACAATTAGGCTTAACTGGAACAGGCTAATCTGGGTTGATGTAGGAAAGAAAAGGTCATAAGAGCATAAATTAAATATGATTCTGCAATGAAATTAGTAAATAAGATAACAACATCTGGGGATGTGTTTACAGGAGCATGATTTACCTAAGCCAGGAAAATAGTCTTTCTCTGCCACCATACTTGGCATTGATCAGGCTTTTATTAGAGCATTGTGTCCTGTTTTGGTCTCTGCAATTGGCTCTAAGGGATATAGACAGCCTTTCCGCTACAGTCACTCACATCGCTAGCCCATTCAAGTGAGTACTAATCTGCCACAATTCCCAGCCCTACAAATGAAAGCTGGAAACATTCTTAAAGCACTAAGACAACTCTGCTCATTTCCTCTTGCTATGAGCTTTATACAGCCTTCTCAGGTACAAAGATAGTGCAATGGAACTGGCTCTCATAAACACTGGCAGCTGATAAATAAGTATCGAAAAGATCCAGCTGGGCGCTGACAGGTCCCAGTCGTGCCCCCACGTGGACACAGCTAAGCACTAGCACTGGTATGTGGGAAATTCACAAGCATCTCACCCTGCCCTCTTGTCAGCACAAAACCACAAAGCCTGCTGAGGGTTACCCCTTGTGAGCCACACATAAATGGAGGGAAGAGGAAGGACTTTGGTGCCTTATCGCCTGTTGCGTGGGTACCTGAAGCTGCCAACCCTGAGGACCTCCACGAACTGAGGACTAGTGGTGAAGAATCTGAGGTCACGGTTACCTGGAGCAGCTGGACTCAGACGGGGACCTTTGCTGTCCTTCATACTGCTGCACCAGAGCTCGCACGCTCCAGTAGGGATTCTCAATCTCCTCATCCACGCTGCTGTTCCTAAAGTCAGAGGGCGCCAACAAAGGAGAGGGTGTCAGTCCTTCGGGCCAACCCACTAACTCCTGACAGATGCCACTCCGGGACTGCTGTGGGTAAAAAGATGGACGAGGCAAAGCCCCGGCCTTAAAGACATTTGAAACCTCGCAAGGAAGATAGAGAAACCAATAATTTCACCAATCCTTGCAATACCTCAGAGTCATGCTCCCTCTCTGACACACAACCCACGAAGCATCCCCTGCCATGACTCTCTGGGACACCCAACCTTCAGGATACACACCAGGGAGACACTCGGGTGACTCGGGATGTTGCTCCCACACACCTCCCAGTGCAGAAAACACACCGTGCCAAAGGAGTATGTTTAAAACTCTGGGCCCCAGAGAAAATAATTACATACATGATTCCTCTACATTCTGCTAAAGTCAACATGTGCACGTGCTCGCTAAGTCGCTTAAGTCGTGCCCGATTCTTTGTGATCCCATGGACTGCAGTCCGCCAGGCTCCTCTGTCCATGGGATCCTCCAGGTAAGAATACTGGAGTGGGTTTCCATGCCCTTCTCCAAAAGTCAAAATAAACATGCCTAAAAGAAAGGCTGTTTTTTTTTTTTCCTCTTTTGGAGCACCCTCTCCAGCCTCCACTCCATACTCTTTTCTGCAATGTGGGCTGTTTAGGTGATATTTCCATCTACCGCACCATTATGATTTAAGGGAAGGAATATCAGCGCAGGTCGAATTCCCATCCCCAGATTTCCATCCTTACCTCTGTCGGTATCGAAAGACATCCCGCCCAGACCGCGACATGTCATGACACACATCGGCCAGAGCGGCGGCTGCCCCCTGTGCCACGGCAGTGGCACAGTGAGGCTGGTGAGTCTGCAGGGGGGCTCCGGCATCCCGCCCTTGGCTCACTGTCCTGCTGGAGCCAGGTCTGAAATGAGCTGCCAAGGCCAGGACCAGCCTCATGATAGACTTCAGGTTGCCTTCCACGATATCTGAGGATCAGAACAGACCAAGAGGTCCTAAGAGGGAAGCAGAGCGCTGAGGACGCACTCGGTTACTGTGCATCTGCTAGTGAACAGGTAAGCGAGGCAGTCAAGCTCTCTGTCCTCACAAGCCGTGTTCAACAAGGAGACCAGAGATTTCGAGCAATTGCCATCGAGGATAACAACATAAAGTGAAGTCGCCCAGTCGCATCCAACTCTTTGTGACCCCGTGGACTGTAGTCCCCCAGCCTCCTCTGTCCATGGGATTCTCCAGGCAAGGATACTGGAGTAGATTGCCATTTCCTTCATACAGTAGGACAAGTACAAGATTCTTTGGGAGCTCAGAGGAGAAGCATCTGTCTAGTCTAGAGGGCTCAGGGAAGGATTCCCAGAGGAGGTGAGTTCCAAACTGAGACTTGACTGACCAACAGAGGTTCATCAGATGAGGAAAGAGAAGGAAAAAAGTATTCCAAGGAGGGGGAAGAGCAGGCATGAAGGTCTAGACGCCATTCAGTAAGGGAGCCACCAGCCACATGTAGCTGTTGAGCACTTAAAAGGCAGCGGTGGTCTTAACTGAAATGTTCTGTGAGTATACTTAGCACACACACACAAAATTGAATGAAAAGTCTCACTAGATTTAGCATAAGATAAATAGCCTGGAGACAAGGATTGAGAAGATGCTAACTGAAAAAGAATTTAGAATAATGATAACAGACTTAGTGTAAAAAAATAGAATGCAAAATATCTCATTGATAGTTTTTTACGTTTATTATGTGTTGAGCTCATAATACTTTAGATATGCATACATGCATGCTAAGTCATTTCAGTCGTGTCCAACTCTTTGAGACCCCGTGGGCTGTAGCCCGCCAGGCTCCTCTATCCATGGGATTCTCCAGGCAAGAATACTGGAGTGGGATTGCCATTTCCTTCTCCAGGAAATCTTCCCGACTCAGGGATCGAACTTGGGTCTCCCGCATTGCAGGTGGATTCTTCACCGACTGAACCAACAGGGAAGCCCTCATTTGGATACATGGGTTAAATAAAATATATTATTAAAATTACTTACACTGATTTCTTTTTCGTAACAAGGCTATTGAGACATTCAAATTACGAATATGACTTACTTTTATTTCTATGGCACACACTGGAAGAGGAACAGAAAGCAGTTCAGCATAGCCAGAGTTCAGAGTTCAGGGGGAGAGAGGGAAAGACAAGGGGGATGAACTGGAGGTCAGGTCAGAAAGGGTATAGTAAGCCAGAGAAAGGACTCTGGATTTTATCCTAAGGGCCCTCAGGTGCAGAGGAATGGCGTGAGCATATCGTACTCTTAGAAAGATCGTTCTGGCTGCAGTGTGGAGAGCAGACAGGAGGGGGACAGAAATGCATGCAGTGGGACTAATTAGGAAGCAGCTGCACTTCTCCAGGTAAAAGACAATGATGTCCTGAACAACTGTTCCCTCAAAATAGCTGACTTTAATGGGCCAGATCCCCAAGCCCACTCCTCACGGGGCCCGGATCAGAGAAATATCTGACATTCTAAATTTTGTCCTAGAAAAAAAAAAAGAGAGAGAGAGAGAGAAAGGCAGACAGAAAATAACATGATGGGTCTGGTTAATGTCAGAAAATAGACAAAGTTGTATTTTTTTCAGCTTCACAGCCTTTTAAATATGTAAGGCTTCCAAAAGGATTGATTGATACCTGCTACAGGACATTCTCAGTGGTCAGTAACTGCCCTGCCTGAATGAGCCCAACACAGAGAACACTAAAAACCCGGAAAGGAGGGCTCCCTCCCACCTCCATCCTCATCAGAGCCACAGGCAATCAGGCCCAGAAACTGAGGCTGAAACAAACCAGGTTAGAATCAGTTCCAGAGTCAGAGTGAAAGGACCAGAGAGCCTGTGCCTTCTGAGGACAGCTACATCATTTCTCCCCTGCAGCCTGGGCTCAGACTGCAATGAGAGCTGTCCTCATCTGGCCATGTGGCCCCAGGAGAGGGCATGTGCCAAGGTGAAAGAGCCTTTTGATCCTGCCTGGAGATGTCCTGTGATGTTCAAAAAAACCTGCTATCAAATATTTTCCTTCTGGAAAACTGGATAGAAAAAAGTAGGCTATTATGATCTGAGATAATAATTGTCATGAAATACTAGGAACACCAAAAAATATCATCTATCTTCATGTTTGATATCTTAAACAAGATGTTCTAAAATTAATATCCAAAAGCTGTCTTTTCTATTAATTTTCCTACACACACTAAAAACAAAACTTTATTCAGTTAAAATGAAGAGCTTCTACCTTCACTCCAGTCTCCAAAGCACCTGGATTTTGATCATCATTCCACCCCAAGAGGATGACTTTCCTTATGGGGAAAAAGATATGAGGTCATCTGCCTAATCCCACTCCAGCCTACTCTGAGCCCTCAGCTATACTGTGGATGGTTCTTCTGAAGGTGGCAATCCCCAGGTAAAGATGAGTGTCCTCAGCCACCACAGACAGAAGGAAGCACTGACCTTTAGCTGAAGTCTGGTGCATACGAATCTTTTTGGAGGCTACAAACTGTAACACTTTCTCCACATTATTCTTCATCTCTTGTTGGTTACTGGGACTCAGCTGTACCCCACTCAGCTTTTCTCCTGCTGTTAGAAGAGAGAAAATACATGAAGTTATGGGGAGGAGTACTATCACAGTTTCATAGTAGCCAGACACAGAGAGAATATTTGAAGTAAACACTAAGATTATCTATAAATATGTCAGGGAGTTAGGCCTTCGTGTTTGTAATCTGGATGGGAAATAGTAAAATGAAAGCATTCTGGAGGGTCTTTGAATTTTCAAATCTATTCCCTAGGGCCTGTGAAGTTACTGTGTGTACATTTATTCATTCAACAAATATTCACTTAGCACCCACTGTGTGCCAGGCACTGTTTGGGGCACCAGAGAAACTGCAGTGACCAAGACATTCTCTGTCTTTCCTTCCATCATAGAGTTTATATCTGCAGGGATGAGAGATGACCAAGATCACAGACAAATGTTTGACAGAATTTCAGGTAGCGCTAAGTGCTGTGCTATGCTAGGCACATCCGACTCTTGGCGACCCCAAGGACTGTAGCCCACCAGGCTCCTCTGTCCATGGGATTTCCCAGGCAAGAATACTGGAGGGGGGTACCATTTCCTACTGCAGCAGATCTTCCCCACCCAGGGATTGAACCCGGGTCTCTTGCATCTCCTGTGCTGGCCTGCAGATTCTTCACAACTAGCACCACCTGGGAAGCCCAGTGGTAAGTACCACGAGGAAAAACAAAGAAGAGTAATCATGGTCTGTCTGATAACACATGTGCGCGGAGACTTGAATAATATAAGAGAGGAAAAGATTTGCAGAGGTAGCATTCCAGGCTGAGGAACCATAAGTACCAACGCCAAGGTGCGAATGAGATCAACTTATCTGAGAAACAGCAACAAGACCCTATGGCTGGAGTGGAGAGAGCAAGGAGTCCAAGTTCTAGAACAGGTAGAGAGGTAAGCAAGGCCAGATCATGTGGGGCTTTGGGAACTAGAGCAAAAGAGCAAAGACCTTGACTTGTATTCTATATGTAATGGGCAGAAAATGCAGGCTTGGAGGTAAGGGAGTTCAGTTCAGTTCAGTTCAGTCGCTCAGTTGTGTCTGACTCCTTGTGACCCCAAGGACTGCAGCACATGAGGCTTCCCTGTCCATCACCAACTCCCAGAGCTTGCTCAAACTCATGTCCATCGAGTTGGTGACGCCATCCAACCATCTCATCTTCTGTCATCCCCTTCTCCTCCCACCTTCAATCTTTCTCAGCATCAGGGTCTTTTTCACTGAGTCAGTTCTTCACATAAGGTGGCCAAAGTACTGGAGTTTCAGCTTTAGCATCAGTCCTTCCAATATATATTCAGAACTGACTTCCTTTACGACTGACTGGTTTGATCTCCTTGCAGTCCAAGGGACTCTCAAGAGTCTTCTCCAACACCACAGTTCAAAGGCATCAATTCTTCAGCATTCAGCTTTCTTTATAGTCCAACTCTCACATCTGTACATGACTACTGGAAAAACCATAGCCTTGAACTAGACGGACCTTTGCTGGCAGAGTTATGTCTTTGCTTTTTAATATGCTGTCTAGGTTGGTCATAGCTTTTCTTCCAAGGAGCAAGCATCTTTTAATTTCAAGGCTGCAGTCACCATCTGCAGTGATTTTAGAGTCCAAGAAAATAAAGTCTGTCACTGTTTCCATTGTTTCTCCATCTATTTGCCATGAAGTGATGGGACCAGAGGCCATGACCTTAGTTTTCTGAATGTTAAGTTTTAAGCCAGCTTTTTCACTCTCCTCTTTCACTTTCATCAAGAGTCTCTTTAGTTCCTCTTCACTTTCTGCCATAAGGATGGTGTCATTTGCGTATCTGAGGTTATTGATATTTCTCCCGGCAATCTTGATTCTAGCTTGTGCTTCATCCAGCCCAGCGTTTCTCATGATGTACTCTGCATATAACTTAAACAAGCCAGGTAATGATATACAGACTTGACATACTCCTTTCCTGATTTGGAACCAGTCTGTTGTTCCATGTCTGGTTCTAACTATTGCTTCTTGACCTACAGATTTCCTAGGAGGCAGGTCAGGTGGTCTGGTATTCCCATCTCTTTCAGAATTTTCCACAGTTTGTTGTGATCTACACAGTCAAAGGCTTTGGTGTACTCAATAAAGCAGAAGTAGATGTTTTTCTGGAATTCTCTTGCTTTTTATATGATCCAACAGATGTTGGCAATTTGATCTCTGGTTCCTCTGTCTTTTCTATCCAGCTTGAGCATCTGGAATTTCACAGTTCACATACTATTGAAGCCTGGCTTGAATAATTTTGAGCATTACTTTGCTAGCACGTGAGATGAGTTACCTGACCTGCTTAATGCTTTTAAAAGTTGACTTCATGTGGACATAGATTCTGTGAAGAGGAAACAGGGAGATCTGTTAGAAAGAAATGAAAATAGTCAAGTGAGAGATAATGATGGTTTGGGAAGAAGCTGAGAGGTGAAAAGTCAGATACCAGGTACATTTTTAATATAAAGCAAACAGCACATGTGAAGGATTGAATATGATAGATGAGAAAAAGAGAATAATTAAAGTCAACTTCTAAGTGTTCTGCTCTAACAGCTGAGGGAATGGTACTGTGATGTGTTAGTCAGATGAAGGATCTCAGAGGACAGAGGGATCAGTGGCATGAAGGAAAAGTTCTGATTAGAACACGTGAAGTGAGAGTTGCATTTTAGACATCCAAGCAGAGAAGCTGAATAGGAAGCTGATATTCACACCCACCTCAAGGAAAAGCTTAGGGCTAAAGAGTCAGATTTGGGAAGAGACCACTTAGGGATAGAGAATATACAAAAGAACTAAGGTCTGAACCTCTAAGGAGAACTTCCAACATTTAGATGTCAGGAGGGCTTCCCAGGTGGTGCAGTTGGTAAAGAATCCGCCTGCCAGTGCAGAAGACACAAGAGACATGGGTTTGATCCCTGGGTTGGGAAGATCCTCTAAAGTAGGAAGTGGCTACCCATTTCAGTATTCTTGCCTGGAAAATTCCATGGACAGAGGAGAGTGGCGGGCTACAGTCGATGGGATCACAAAGAGTCAGACACGACTAAGCATGCACACATGAGGGAGGAGGGAAACTTCAAGTCCACAGGATCCCTGAGACCAAGGCAAGATGTCTGGAGGAGGAGGGAGTGATCCACTGTGTCAAGTTCTGCTAAGTTGAATAAAATGAGGACTGAGCCCTGGCCACGGGATTTGACAGAGCAGAGCTGTGATCCCAAGGAGAACAGTTTCAGGGGCATAGTAGTAGGATCAAAAGCTCAGTGAGGGCCAGCTCAAGAAAGAGCGCAATCTAAAGTAGTGAATTCAGAGAGATTTTCTATATAGCCAAGTTGCAACAGAATGCAGCATTTAAGAACCTGGGTTTTGAAAAACAAGAATACACATTCATGTTGCCTGTATGTGCACCAATAAATACTCTCTGGAAATAACCAGAAACTGCTAACACTAGCTGCCTCCAGAAAGAACAGGTAACTGGCAAGGGGACAGATGGGGGAAATGGCTTTTGATTTTCTATCTTCTTGGGCTGTCTGGATTTTCTAACTGATTATATTTCCAGGATAATCTGTTCAAATGAGTGAAAAATTAAAAGTTGAAAATTAGCTTTGGAATTAAAGTAAAACTAGGCTTGTCCCTCTGCTTCACCACTATTCTTATGTGACCTTGCAAAATTGCTTAAGGGTTTCCCTGGTGGCTCAGAGAGTCAAGAATCTGCCTGCAATGCAGGAGACCTGGGTTCTGTCCCCTGCAGAAGGGGAAGGCTACACATTCCAGTACTCTTCCCTGGAAAATTCCACGGACAGACCTTTCTAAATCTCAAAAAGTAAGTAAAATACTTAAATGCTATCCATTATCCTAAATCAATCAAAGTAGCATGTTTAGCAATGCTTGATATATATGCACACACACATATATGTGTGTGTATATATATATACAGTGCTCCTGGAAATGGGGGTAATATTATGTTTCTCAAACGTTGATGATTAAGTGAAATTAAATGAGACAGTGTTCAATACACAGTAGCTGCTATTACTATTATCATGGTTATAATCACTATAAGTGAAGAATGAATCCATGAACTGTCTGAATGAGGTATTTGTGGACAGGCTGCCTGATGCAAGCCTGCCTTCTTACATATCACTCAAACCCACATCCCATAACTATGTCAATGATGTTTGAGTACCTGTTATGTGTCTGTCACTTGGTTAAGGATTGTGAAAACAGGGGGGAAAAATTACACTGTACCTGCTCTTAAAGAGCTCAATCTATTACTGGAGAGGTAGATAATAAACAACCATCATTTGGTGAGAGAAATAATAAGAGGTGTGGACAAATGCTGTGGAAATAAGGTTATGATATCATCTAATACAAATGACAGGCAACAACTCTGGGGTTTCAAGAAAACAAGGTCTTCTTATCTTAGTCGGGTCCTTTTGCTGGTAACACACCTTCTTTTTGCCTGGCTGCCACTTCCCTTTCCAGCCTCAGTCTAAACATCAGATCTTCTGGCAAGCCATCCTAGAATCCCTAACAGTGGGTTGGGTGCCCGCCCTCTGCTCTTATCTGTGCTTGCCCCATCACAGTGCTAAGTACATTACTGGAAGTGACTTCGCTCTCCAGTCTTTCCAACTAGATTGGGAGACTCTTGAGAGCTGTGACTGCGCTCCTCATCACACTCCCTAAGTTTAATGCAGAGCCTGGAACACAGTGTTTACTGACTAATAAATTAATTAATTAACCTTAGGCAAGTATCTTAAGTCCTCCCTACTTTCAAGTCCATGAGACTTTAAAGAAGTAGCTCAGTCGGTAAAGAACATGCCTACCAATGCAGGAAACGAGGGTTCTATCCCTGGGTGGGGAAGAACCCCTGAGGGGAAAATGGCAACCCATTCCAGTATTCTTGCCTGGGAAATCTCATGGACAGAGAAGCCTGGCGGGCTACAGTCCATGGGGTCACAAGAGTTGGACACGACTTAGTGACTAAACCACCACCAACAATCTGCTCTCAAGGGCACATGGAGGGTAAAAAGGCCATGTTCTGGTTTAAGCTAGCATCAGAGTCCAGGGCCAACCGACCAACAATCTCAATGAGATACGCCAGGATCACCCCATCCCGGAGATCTTGTCGCAGGTCCTCCACTGGCTTCACAGCTGGCCTCTTCTTCAGCTGTGCATTCACCCAGGCCACGTACGCCTGCAGCTGTTGCTGGAAAATGAAAGCGGGAGATAAGGAAAGGTTGCATGCTTCTCATATCCTCTTCCCTGCTTCTCATATCCTCTTCCCTGCATCCTCTAAGGCAGCAGTGGAGACTGGGTGATCTATACCCAACTTCCCAGGTGGCCCAGTGATGAAGAATTCGCCTGCCAACACAGGAGATGCAAGTTCAATCCCTGGGGGGGCCGGGAAAGATCCCCTGGAGTAGGAAATGGCAACCTGCTCCAGAATTCTTGCCTGGACATTTCCATGCACAGAGGAGCCTGGCGGGCTACAGTTCATGGGGTCGCAAAGACTTGCATGCAACTGAGCAACCGAGCAATCTATACCCAGAGGGAGGAGGAGAAGGTTTTAAGGAAAGAAAGATGGTTAGACATGGAGTATGCTCTAAAATTCTCTAGTTTTATGCTAGTCTTTGGGATGAGCTACCCTCTGACTGGGGTGGTGGTGTGGATACAGGTACGCAGATGAGCATTTCGGCGACAGTGACTCCTGCTTTCCTTGACTTTAGCTTTGTCGACCAGGAATAAAGCCGGGCCAGAAGCACAGCCCGTTTTCAAGTGTGATGAAAGCTGCCAGTGACCCACTGTGCTTCCCAGGAATGAGCTCTCGTGTGTGTGCACAATGACCTGTGACATTCCTAAGAACTGATCCTGGGGAGCTAGGAATCCACAGTTAAACTGATCTCAGAACTGCCTCTCATAGCTGCTTTCTTCACAAAGAGATTTCACTGAAACCAACCCGGGGTTTATCCTCCTGAGCCCATAATCCTGGGATTGCTACAGAGTTAGCTTTAATCCAGGCTTTACGTTGTCAGAGAGGATCTGGTTACCTGAAACCTGCACAAAGAAGAAAGACTAGGGTGAGCAGAGCTCCTGAAGACTGGGGTCAGGGTTGGGGGAGCCTTCATTTTTTTTTTTTTCAGTCAACACTTATTGTCCAGTACCATCAGAAACCTGTCAGACTCAGGTGGGATATATAATTCATCCCAACACTTAGACAACCTTTCATATTCCATTTTAAACAGAGCTTGTATATTCAGGTGTTCATTCTGATTATTTGGGCACGGAATATCAAAATAGCACAAGAGCAAGGTCATAGTACAGGCAGCAGTTCTGTCTGATTTCTGAAGAAGCCCAAGACTCTGAACCTAAAAATTAAATTCAAGGGCTAACAGTATCAAATGATAATGTGGTTAAAGTACAGTTGATTTCTAAGCTCCAAGTACTTCCTTAATGAAATGATGTCAGAAATTACTCACTGGCAGCTTCCTGAGCTTAAATTAAATCTTCACTATTTTCTCTACGTCAATTTGTGGGAATAAATAAAGTCCTTTGGAAGGTGGCGCTGAGGTAATGTTCTATCAGCTACTGAGAAACGGGAGGAAGTGCAATGATCAGCAGGAGGTAGGGGAAAGAATCTGGTATTTATTGAGTACCTACCATGAATTAAACACTACTTTTGGTGTTTTCTATGTCTTTTAATGACTTACTAATGTATCTGGAGGGCTTTCCTGATGGCTCAGTGGTAAAGAATCCACCTGCCAATGCAGGAGATCTGGGTTCAATTCCTGGGTCAGAAAGATTCCCTGGAGTAGGCAACCCATACCAGTATTCTTGCCTGGGAAATCCCATGAACAGAGGAGGGCTGGCAGGCTATACCCCACAAGGTAACAAAAGAGTTGGACACAACTTAGCAACTAAACAACACAACAACAGTGTACCTAGAATGCAGCCACACAGTTGATGCTTACTAAATGGTCATCACTATTTTCATTATCATCATCTAATTCAGTTCTCACAGAAGCACTGAAGGGTTGGTATCATCTCCGTTCTGTGGATGAGGCTCAGAGAAATTATATAACTTCTCCAAGGTCTCCATCCCTATGCCATGGCAGACCTGGTTAGCAAACCCAGGAAAGGTGGTCCAAGGACCTCCTGCTATTCAAATCACTCTGCAGGTTAGAGGTGGCTGCGCCTTCCACTTTTACATGGGCCAGATTCCTGCCCAGGTGAGCTCTTACATTCAACCAAAACGGCAGGACAGGCAAAGGGTGCCTCCAGAGCAAACCACTCTGCTCCGGGCCACGAACGCATCAGGGTAACAGCTGGGTCTGATTACCTGGCTTACATCAAAATCCCTACCCCACTTCCTTCTATCGAGTATCACCCTCAACCCTCCCCCCACACATTCCTGCTTAAAATCCTTCCCTGGCATCTCATTACCCTCAAGAGAAAACCCAGCCTCCTCAGCACTTCAGTCTGTCCTGCGCTAGTCCTTAACTCTTCTCCAACTTCGCTTATCCACTCACATTTGCCAACCCCTGCATTTAAGGTTGGTCCAAACTAAGTGCAATGCCCCAAACGTACCACGTCTTCCGGCCACTCCACCGCCCTCCTGCCTCGCATCTCCTCTTAAACCTCAGCTCAAGCACCACCTCTTCCAGGCAGCCTTCCCTGACCCTCCCACACACCTCAGACTCTTGATCTCCGTGAGGACGTCCTGTGTCAGGCAATCAGTTCAACTACAAGGTGGGTGCAGCCAGTGTTCTGTGACAGGGCTACAAAGAGCTTTATGCCTTCAAGAAGTTTGCAGGAAAAAAAAAACGAGAAGAGAGAAGAAGGAGGAAACACAGGTTGGTGAGACAAGCGCTAGGACAGGGGTGTGCGAGGTGCTAGGAGTATTAGCCCAATCTGAAGTCTATGCTCAGGGGGCTTTCCTGAGGAAAGGAGGCCAAGAGGACAGTGAGCTCAAAGGGGCTCAGGTCTCAACTAGATGCTCCGTGCAGGAGTTCAGGACTGTTGGACTCAAGAGGAACAGGCGCTCAACAAATCTCTGTTTGAATCGGTAAATAATGTGTCAAATTTCATCAGGCCAAGACTTACAATGATTCTAAAAGTTAATTATGCAGGGGAAGACAAGAACAAGTATTTTTCATCAGGCCAAGATAATTTTTACTTAAGTAATCATAGCCTTCTTTTGGCCAATGAATAGAAGTAAGTTGTCTCTGATGCAAAACTGCTTGGAGGCTCCTCATAGAACTTTTCATGCACATTAATCACAGTTCCGGGCTTCCAGTAAAGAGGATTCTATTGCATAAGTGATAATAATTGTCACCACTTTTCTGAACACCTACTCTGGGTCTAGAGCTATGCTAGGTCCTTTAGACACAATTTCTCTAATGCTAATCTGCCAGGGAAATTTTTACTGTATTTATTTTGCTAACTGCAAACCGAGACTCAAAAAAGGTTAAATAACGTTCAAGGCCACCCAGACTGTAAACTATGGATATGAAATTCACTCTGACTTCCAAACCAGTGCTCTTTCCACCTTACCACACTGTCACCTAAATAAATGCATCCCTGAGGTTTAAACAACCTCACCAAACTCTCGGAGTGGAAGTCACCTTAGCCTAAACCACTTCTTCCTCCATAGCCAGTGCTTGAGCCTAATCTACACTCGGGAGCTGCCTGCTTATCAGAGTGCTCCAAAGACCAGCAGCACCATCACCAGGGGCCTCTCAGAAAAGCAGACGCTCACACATCACCATCAATCAACATACTTCAAATACAATAGAACAGAATATGCAGAATAGAATGGAAATGCAGAATCTCAAACTCTGCTCCAGTTCTAATGAATCAGAACCTGCATTTTTAAAAGAGCCCCTCATCTTGTATTTTCTCTGCTTCAGCTCTGTCATTGGCTATTTGTCAAAAGAAAATAATTCTGGCTCCTCTTATTGGAAAGTAGTTTTCAGAAACCAAAATTTGGGCATGAGGTATACTCATCTTACTAGGGTAATATTCTGGACCCTCTCAGGAGTAGAGTAGGAAATATAGGTATGTATCACACCCAGACACATACTTCCATCTACTTATCTTGACAGACAGATGGAGAAATAGACCATGAATTATCCGGATCCTGCCTCCGGCCCAGCACCACAGGGTTCATCTCTCCTTTTCCTTTTCCTTATTTGTAACTCCTTTTTCTCCACAGTGAGAAAACCTGACTCTATCCACAATATATTTACTAATATTTCCTCAGTCCTAGAAAACACATCAAAATTTGACTTGCTAATCCATACCTTGTATGGATTAGCATAGTCATTTTTTAAAATATTTGTTTATTTATTGGGCTATGCCATGTCATAGAAAAATAAATTTACTAGCCAGAAATTGATGTACGAGTATATAGGCCTTTTTGTCTTTAGCCCTACAGTGTACACTCAAAATACTGATTCCAAAGTGACTTAGGTTAATTCTTTTCTTTCCTCTGCCTTCAGTGTGGTTATGTTATTAACTTGTAATACAGTTAAGTACATGTATTACAATTGGTAGACCATTTTGGGTTGTCCTAACATGTTGGTTGATGTTAATTAATTTGGGGGCAGGAGAAAGATTAACATGGTTCTAAAAGTCAGAGCTATAGAAAAACATATATTCAGAAGTGTCAGACCTCCATCCTTCTCTCTATTCCATTCCCTCTTCTCTAGTCTTTCCACCCTATTCCTATCCACTCCTGTAGACAACCAACCTGATTCATTCTATGTTATCTGGAAAAAAAGATATATGTATATATTTTATTTCCCTTTTCTTCTTATGTGAAAAATAGCATAGTAATTTTTTTTTAAATTTTATTTATTTACTGGGCCCTGCTGGGTCTTGGTTGCAGCATGTGGGATCTTCAAACTTTGTTGCATGTGGGATCTAGGTCCCTGACCAGGGATCAAACCCAGGTCCCCTGTGTTGGGAGCTTGGAGTCTTAGCCACTGGGCACCAGGGAAGTCCCCAAAATAGCATTAAGCACTGACAGTGCCTGGTGGCTCAGATGGTAAAGTATCTGCCTGCAATGCAGGAGACCCAGGCTCAAGATTGGGTTGGGAAGATCCCCTGGAGGAGGGCATGGCGACCCACTCCAGTAATCTTGCCTGGAGAATTCCATGGACAGAGGAGCCTGGGGAGCTACAGTCCATGGGGTTGCAAAGAGTCAGA